GATGATGGTATACTAGAAACCAGAAGCCTTGATCCTGACCAATGACCCATTACAATGAACGTTTGCAAGTAGAGCTGATTGGACAAAGATTGTACTGTGTGTTGCATTGTGACTCCCAATGCTACCAGCTGTTGGAAAGGTGGGAAAGACAGAGGAGTGAATGTCTGGCAGTGGTGGCACACAACTTTTATCCCAGCACTTGGGAGGCAGAGGCAGGCAGATCGCTGTAAGTTCCAGGTCAGCCTGGTCTACAGAACGAGTTCCAGAATAGCCAGGACTACACAATGAAACGCTGTCTAGGAGTGGGGAGAGGAGGAGTGGGTTTTTTGTTTTTGTTTTTGCTTTTTTGTTTGTTTTGTTGTTTTGGTTTATTTCTCTGGTTTGGTTTTTTAAATTTTTCTTTGGGGGTACTGCTACAGGGGTGAGGGGAGGATATGGAGGAACTGGGAGATGAGCAGAATTAGGGTGCATGATGTGAAATTCCCAAAGAATCAATAAAGAAATTATGTTGAATAAATAAGTGAAAGATACCAGTTTTATGAAGAAAAAAACTATTCATTTTGGAACATGAAGGTGATAAACACTCCTAAATACATCTTGTGGTTGGAGGAAGATTTAATGTGAACCTAATAGAGCATACAGTTCAGACTCTTGGCTCCAACAGGCTCAAGGCCTGAGAAGATCCCAGAAGTGTAATCTCATGATCTATTTTGTGTATAGTTCTCAAAAGGTGAGATGTTTTGAAGGACTTTACTCTCTATATTTTTTCATTTAAAATTTTTATTTGTCAGGTGATAACAAACTAAACATAAACATATTTTGGATTTGGCTAAGGTGAATATTGGGCTGAACTAATTCATGTGACCCACAGTCCACTCATTGTAACTTAGATGTTGCCACCAAGATTTCACGGCCATCAGCCTGGACACATGGGGGAGGACCTAGGCCCTGCTCAGGATGATATGACAGACTCTGAAAATCCCTCTTGGAGGTCCTTCCCTTCCCTGGGGAGCAGAATAGGGTGAGGGAGTGGGAGGACTAGGGGGCCGGAAGAGGAGGCGAGGGAGAGGGAACTGAGAGTAACATGTGTAAAAAGTTAAATAAAAAAATTATTATTAAAAAAGATTTCACAGTCTTGGGCTACAACTATTTTACATAGTGACTGTTTTCCTGCCTGCTTCCTTAACTCAAAGCCATGGTTTATTTCCAGACAGTTTCCCGTGTTGTAATCTATATCACCCTTCCTGACTGCTTCCAACATTCTCATCTGTTCTCAACTGCTCACTGCTGCCACACTGTGCACTCTGATCTGTCTACAGAGGATTCTGTCCTCTGGGTTCTTCCTTTGGCACAAAATTGCCTCACAGAATGGTACCTGTTAGGACTTAGGATAATATATATTAATAGGACACAAATATGTACATTTTTGCTATAAAGCAACATTCAAGAATGAGGACATGAAATTCAGTAGTAAACTGGAAGGTGATGCTCACAATGCCTGCCCCATGGTGTGCATGCAGAGCATAGCCTACTGTTGGGAGAATCTAGACTATGAGAGGTATCACTCCTGGGATTAGATCATATTTCATAAGAAAGCAAGAATTGCATAAGTAACTATGTCTTTTGTCAATCAAACATATGATGAATTTGATTTTGAATTTATCAAAATGAAGATTATCTGTAGTATGCCAGCTAAGCATGTTATTTTCTTTTTTCTTTCTTTCTTTTTCTTTTCTTTTCTCTCTTTCTTTATTTCTTTCTTTATTTTGTTTTTTTCAAGATACAGTTTCTTGGTAGCCTTGGAGCCTGTCCTGGAATCCACTCTGTAGTCAAGGATGGCCTCGAACTGAGATATTTACTTCCCTCTGCCTCCCAAGTGCTGGAATTAAAAGCGTGAGCCACCATCGGCCGGCTCAGCATGTTATTTTCTTGAGACAATTTTATAATTGATTTTGGCTCAGTATTCTCTAGCTGGCTCTTCTTACAACAACACATTTGCCAACTTCCCTGAAGAGAGAAAAATAAAATGTATTCTTTCTTCCTAGCAGCATCCATCAAATAGTGCACTTGTGGTGCCCTTTGATTATGCCATTTAGATTTTTGGTAAGAAAATATCTTCTTTCTGAATACTGTGGTTTTCTGACAGATTCCTTTAAAATACGAAAAGGTGTTGTAATTGTCTCAAACTAAAACAGTCTATGTCCATTTTCCATTCATAACTTTATGCTCTTCTTTTTGTAAAGGTCACAGATTTCATGCCTCAGAAAGCATGGGTCTTGCTCTGTATCTGACCATGAAACTTTGAAAGTCAATCCTAGAAGGGCAGGAAAGACAGTGAGGAAGCTGCACGCTGAAACTGTGAAACTGTATTTCTGATGGGCCCCTAGGGGGCACTGCTATCTAACAGGAAAGGGCTTTTATGCAGATTAGATCAAAGACACCAAAACCTAATTTCTGTACAATTTAAATAATTGTTTTGACTGAATATATATTAGATAGTGACAGAAACGATCTCAGACACCAACCACAGGCCTCTTGCCAAGACTGACAATAGTAGTTCAGTCAGTGCTGCTGGGGAGACGATCAGAGCAACCTCTGCCCCTCTCCCACTCTTCAGGCTGTGTCCCTTCCTGAGAATCTCCAGGAAGAAGTGAGCTGCTACCTGCTCACCTTGGTGATCTTGCTGTGTATCCTCGGCTCCGAGTACCCCTGCTGCTCACTGTCACTCTGCTTTAGGTCCTCATCCACAGAAGGAACACTGTGCTGCTTCCCTCTGAACAGAGACGCTCCTTAGTGCTGAGTTTTCCACACAGCACTGATGCTGCAGGAGGATGCAGAGCCAGGTGTTGCCCAGCCTGATGGCTGCATCTGTGCATCTGCAGCAGCTGCTCTGGTGCTGAGCTGCTGATCTCATCCGTTGTCCCCCAGTGTCTCTTCTTAGTTTTCAGCACCTCTGACTCTCACACCAGGAAGCCAGCCTGTCTCTGGTATGGCCAGCTCTCAAACTAAGTGCAGAAAGGATGGAAACCCCTTCCACCTGAGGATTCGCTGACAGCAAGACTGAGGGAGTTGGGTTCTTCTCTGCCCTGAGTCACAAGTGCAGAGTTGGACACAAACCACCTGAGAATTCAGAGTAAGAGACCAGGTTCCCAGCCTGACACTCTCAAGGAGTTGGCACATTCAGTGAAGGCAACAGTACAGAGAAAATGGAATCTTGGGTAGTGCTTCATTCTTTGGGATAGATCTTAATTGCCATTAACTTGTTTTTCATTTTACAAAGGAGAGATCTGATTCCTGAAGGACAACATTTTGACCTGAGTCAGAATTCTATCTCAATTATCCTACAGGATTCTCTTCAAACTAGGGAAAATTAGGTGCTTCAATACCATTTCAGACTGTGATGGCCTGAGAGGGTCTAATGTTGGCAGTGAGTTGTTTTCAAAAAGATTGTGTGTTTACTTCTCGTTACTAGTCATATTTATGGAGAAAACTTTAAAATACATTCCTCCATTGTTATGAACACACAGAGCATTTTTCCCTGAGGTCACCATATATCCCTATCACTCAATGCAGAGCTCCTACATTAGCTTTCTCTAACCCACTTCCTTCACAGGCAGACATTAAACAAACAGATTCATCACAAACCTTTGTTATAATGAGAGTGCCTATTAAAATGGACATTACATCTGTTTGACTGCATGAATAATAGCCTCAGAGCACCCAAAAAGTTTCAATGTCACCTCAAACAAAAGAAATTAAAACAACACTCCTTTTGGTTTAATTTAAGACCAAGCCTGGATATGAATTGTCTGATTCTTCCTTCCCGTGACTTCCATCATTCTCTCTGTATCTATCTGTTGTATGAGTCTGTCTCAAAAAAAAGGGCTCTGATCTATAATTATTGGACAGTACAGAAGTCATCACATGGGAAAGGAATGGGGATACTTTGCATAAATATTTAACAGAGTTTTACAAAGTGTCAAGTCAATGACTCCAACTGATACCATGTGATCCAGATAGCAAGCAAGCAAACATTATTAAACAATCTCTATATGCTAACTTTAACATTTATGGCAGATATTATTTTATAAGATTGACTTCAACCTATGTTTATGGTTTCTAGCAACTACTTCCATGACACATGCATTTCTCTGGGTCAGGAGCATGGAAGTGTACATAATTTAGAATTAAGGCTAAGCATCAACTTTGGTTGTAAAACTAGACTACAGTGGAACCCAAGGCAACTAAGTTTGGTTGTTACACTGTTCTCTTAAAGGCAGGTTAAACAAGCAAGCTGAGTACACTCTAGGCCAGCATCCTTAATTCTTATGGAACCTTAAGGTCCAGCAAAAGTTCCAGTCTCTTAGAGTGTGAGAGATATTTTTATGATGATGTTATTTGGCGCAACACATATTTTATCTGGTCCAAGATTAGGAAATCATTAAAGACAGTTAGATGCTTTTTACTTTGCATGATTAGAATGTTTCTAGACTTACTTAATAAAGATTCTTTTCAGTTTCGCCATGTAACAACTCTGGCTGTCCTGAAACACACTTTGTAGACTGGCTGACCTCAAATTCACAGAGATCCACAAGCCTCTGCCTCTGGAGTATTGGGGCTAAATGTGTGTGTCACCACATCCAGCCAGCAAAGATTCTTTAGTCAGAATGTACATCTGTCTCCTGGCATGAATATTTACTTGTTAATTTTTTTATGTTCTCCAATTACATGTTGAGACATTTTCTTCTTAGGAGGAACAAATCCTCCTTTTCCTCAAAGGTCATTCACACTACCTATAATTTCAGGGTCATCCCCAAATGACCCCCAATAATGTGCTCCATCCAGACTCTCAGCCAGGTCTGGTTGGGAGGATCTTCAGGCTCAGAAGGCTGGGAGGGAACTCTGCAGTATCTGGACTGGCAGGGTTCCTGGGTGAAGCTGCCTGGTGCAGGAGGAGGGACCTTAAACAGTCATCCTGACACCACAGCCCAGGGTTAGTTACTGCTTCTGTCTCCAGCATCCAGACAAGCACCATGAAGAGGCTGCTGTGCTTTCTGCTGGGGCTGCTGTGCTCCCAGCTTTGCTGTGAGTCTGACTGTCCACACTCAGGGACAGAGAGGATTGTGCTCAGGACATGGAGGGTGGGGAAGCAGCTCAGGAGTCCTGCAGAGCTCCCTCCTTCTCAGAGGACATGGGGTGTTCAGGGTTCTGTGGATGCTCAGTGACCTCATCTGTGTCTCTTTCTCTGTTTCTGATCAGGGGTGAAAGGGCAGCAAGTGGAGCAGAGTCCTGAGTCCTTGGTTCTTCAGGAGGGAGAGAGTGCAGAGCTGCAGTGCAACTTTTCCACAGTTTTGAACAGTATGCAATGGTTTTATCAAAGTCCTGGAGGACACCTCATCATCCTGTTTTACAATCCTTCTGGAAAAAAGCAGAGTGGGAGACTGACGTCCACGACAGTCCCTAAGGATCGTCACAGCTCTTTGCAAATTTCCTCCTCCCAGATCACTGACTCAGGCACTTATTTCTGTGCTATGAATGCACAGTGCTCCCTACATACCTGTACCCATTACACAAACCTTTAACTGGGTGGGTGTGGCCCTTCCCTGTCACAAGATGTCAGGATGCCTTACAGAACATCTGTCTAGTTCATTGTATTGGCATAGTTTCTTTCCAGTATTTGCAGTTTCACCCTCAGATAAGCTTTTGGCCTCATAGGTTTAGTACTTTAGTATTAATTTTCATTTCCCCATATATACTCCCTCCTGAAACATAAATATCCAAATTGAAACTAACAGAGAAGCTGATGGGAGGAATAAATGAGTATGAACTTGTTTTGAGATTATAATTGCAACATTTCTCCCTTTCATTTCCTCTCTACAAATATTCCCCTTCCTTTCTACTTCAGATACATAACTTCCTTTTCAATAATGACATATATATATTTATAATATGATATACATGTATGTAAAATTATAACCTATTCAGTCTATATAATATTACTTTTGTGTGTGTTAAATGTATTTTCAGTGCTAACCATTTGGCACTAGATAACCAATTATTTATTGTACTCTCATCTATAAATATTTGTTTCTATACCCACAGACAAGTGTAGTCTTCACCCATCCTCAAAGAAACTTCCCTTTGCAACAGATGGAGACCAGTACAGAAAATCACAACCAATCAAAAATGGAGAGTTGGGGAAACCAGCCCCAGTGGGTATATCTACAAAATACACCCACAGCTAAGTTTCAGGTCAGAGTGAAAAGGGGGCAAAAAGATTGCATGAACCAGAGGATTAGGGAGTTTGCTGTGAACCTGTGTCTCCTGGTAGCATCAGAAGCTAAACACTTAAAATCTCACCAAAATGAGCTGAAAAGGATGTATTCAGGGGCACACCAAAGTGGACAGGGCAAAGCTCACCAGGGCAATGTGAATATTTAAGCCACAGTATCCTGAACACCTAAAGGGTAAGAAGCAATCGAAAGAAATGCAAAAGCAGTCAGTCATCAAGTAACACTGCTGTGGACATTGATGTCTCAAGCATATTCTTCCCAGATCGCAGTAGACCATGGTAAGAATGGGTACATGTATCTGGCTTTTTGATGCTGTAAGAAAAAATTCCCAAATGTTCCTATGCTGTTAAACATATGTGGGCAATGCTTAAGGCATATTTCCACCTCACCTAAGTCCTCTTCTTGTCAGTTTCATTGCTGTGAAAAGACACTATGACCATGGAAACTCTTATAAAAAATAAGACTTACTTGGGGATAGCATACAGTTTAGGGGTCTGGGCCATATCATCATAGTAGGAAGCATAGCAGCACACAGGCAGACATAGTGCTAGACAAGTAGCTGAGAGTTCTACATCTGGATCTTCAGACAGCGGGAACAGAAAAACACTGGGCTTGACTGGAACTTTGAAACTTCAAAGCCAACCCCAGAGATACTTCCTCTATCAAGACCACACCTTCTCCAACAAGGCCAGAACCACACCTCCCACCTCCTAATACCTAATACCTATGAGCCTATGGGGGCCATTTTCACTCAAGCCACCACACCCAGTACCTGGTCGCCGTAGACTTAGAGCCATATCAGAATGCAGAATCTCCATCTGTCTTAGGGTTTCTATTGCTGTGAAGAGACACCATGACTACAGTAGCTCTAATAAAGGAAAAACATTTTAACTGGGGTGGCTTACATTTTCAAATGTTTACTCCATTATTGTTGGGCCCCAGCCCCGACAGATTTCTGTGCATTGCTTGTCAGCTGATAACCACAGGTTCATCCTATTCTCTAGTCCTGGACTGCAGCCCTGGCCTTGCCCACCTGACATCACTATCTAGCACAAGAAAAACACAAGCTCTTGCACTCAAGGTTTTTCCACCGTGCTGTAAGTCTGTATATAAGGCTGCTCACTCCTTACCACACACCGACACACACACACGTGCGCACACACACACACACGCACACACACACACGAGTGCGCACGCACATTCTCCTGGCAATAAAGACAGCAGTCACATTCTATTAGCACAAACAACTGGGCGTCTTGTCTTTCCTTTCCAGATACCTAGGACTTGTTCATGGCACAGATGCCACACATTATCATCATGGTGCAATATGGTTGTGTGCAGGCAGACATAGTGCTGGGGAAGGAGCTCAGAGCCCTGCATCTTGACTTTCAGGCAACAGTAAGTGGTTTGCCACTGCATATAGCTTGAGCAAAGGAGGCCTCAAAGCCCATCCCCAGAATGACATACTTCCTCCTACAAAGCCACACCTGCTAATAGTGTGACTCCCTTTAGGGGGCATTTTCCTTCAAACCACCACACCATCCATAGTCCATCATAGTCTCAACTCTGTTTAAAAGTCTGAAGTCTCTTCTGAGACTCATGGAAGTCTCTTAACTGTATTGTCCTATAAACTCAAAGTAAAAAAAAATAGCAGATCACGTACTTCCAACACAAAGGCAGTGTGTATTGCCTTTATAAAATTGATGAAAGAGAACACAGTGAAGAACTACTGTACCAAAACAAGACCAAATGCCAGCAGGGCAAACGGGGTATCTCTATGTCTGATGTCAATGGGCTCTTCAGGTCTCCACCTTCTTTCAGCTTTGCTGACTATAACACACTTCTCTCTCTTGGGCTGGTTCCAGTCCCTATCAGCAGTTTTCCTTGGCAGGTATCTCATGGCTCTGGCATCACCAACATCTTGGGGTCTCCATGGCAGTCCAGGCCTCCCCTCCTGAGCCTCATGCTTCTGGGCCTCCATTCAGAGATTCCTCTACTGTGTGCCTGGCCTCAGCAGCTTTTCTGAGTCATGAAGATAGCCTCTGTCCTGTATCCTTGACTCTAAAGACAGAGTCATGCAGCAAAGCTGTCAAGTTCTGCTGCCCGCTGGTACACAGACCCTTATTCAAACACATTTTCACCACCTTTATGTTGTTGATGGGTTCCTTCAACATTATGTTGTTGATGGCTGTCCTGGAACTCGCTCTGTAGACCAGGCTGACCTCCAACTCAGAGATCCACCTGCGTCTATCTCCTGAGGGCTGGCATTAAAGGCACTTGCCACAAAGCGTTTCTTTAATTCCTTTCCACAAGTTGGAAACTTAACTGGGTGGTATCCTGTCCTGAGGTTTCCAGTCCCTTTATTGTTTATCATTTGGCTTTTCTTTAAGACGTTTCCTGGTGTTCCTTTTCTCCTCAAACTGTACATTTTGTATTTTTCTTTGCTCAGCTTGTTCCTCTTCATATAGATCAGCATAGCTGTGGCCACCAATAACCAACAGAGCCAATATTAAGCTGTTTGGAAACCTCCGCTGCCAAATATGTTAATACACAATTCTTCAATTTAACCTCAGGCAGATTCTTTGGAGAAGGGCAGAAAGTAGCCCCATTCTTCACAAAAATATCTTAAGAATAGTTTCTAGGGCAGATACTAGTATTATTCTCCTCTGAAACGTCTTGAACTGGACCCCACAGTTCAAATCACCATCAGCATCACTGTCTTCCATGTTCCTTCTAGTGTGGCCCATTAAGCACTGCTTAAAGCATTCCACTGCTTTACATAGTACAGCAAGATGCTATGCAGTCTCCTGGAAAGAAAAGACATCAATGAAGAAAATACTTCAATGCTCTTACCCGCATCTGGTGCCTTTATATTGACAGCTGGTGAGATAGACCCATCACGTTTATGGAATAACATTCTACATTCCCCTGGGTTTGAGGCCTGCTCCACAGGAGAGAAATGGCATACCCCGTACTGTACTCCTCACCAACAGCCCATCGTGGACCTAGGGAGACTGCTCAAGGGTTAAGAGCACTGGCTGCTCTCCCAGAGGACCCAGGTCTACTCCCCAGCAACTGCATGGCAGCTGTATCTCCACTTCATGGAGTCTAACACACTCCTCTGGCCTCTATGGACACTGAATATGTGCTATGCAGAGGCATACATGTAAGCAAAACACCCATACACATAAGAATAAAAGTAAATGAATGTCTAAAAAAAGATTCCATGGCTTGAGAGGTCATAGGACCTAGAGCAAAATCTACCTTTGTTGTTTTGCTACATTTTACTGTCAGATAACCTTGTAAATATCTTTTCTTATGCCTGCAGTCCTGGGCCACTCTCTTTGCAATGCAGACATAAAACTGGCCAACGTACTGAGAATGAGATCCTGAGTGATCATCCCTAGGGGACAGCTTTACCAACACCCACCGAGGCCCAAGTGCCATTGAGAGAGAGAGGAGGCAGACAGAATGTAAGTGCCAAAATATGGAGGGGAGCCCTGTGAAATGCTGTCTTCTGGGCATGACATAGCTGTCACACTCTTCAACTCACAACAGCTGTGGTTGTCTGCAAAACACCTACCTATAGAAACTGGGCCAACCAAAATTTACACATAAGTGGGGAAAAGTATATCTAGAACCCACCTCTTATTGAGAAGCTATTGACTGTTGATTCTATTGAGAGAGGAAGATCTTTGAGAGTGTGGGTATTGGTAGGTTTCCAGTGGTCCATGGATGGCTCCAACCCATCCACGTGTGGGCAGAAAGAATTGGATTTAGTGGGATATAGAAGAAGAAAGAGAAATAATAAAATGAGAGGGAGATATGTTTAGAATGTTTGGATGTTATAGAAGGGGGAAGTGGAAGGTATGAGATTCTCAAGGAATAATAAAATAATTCTTAAAAGAAATGAAAATATAAGCTTTTATAGCATAAAGAATTCTAATAAATGTGTAGTTTCAAAAAGGAAATCACAAGGGTTAAAATAAATGTAAAAAAGAAAAGGAAAGATAAGATGCTGCAGCAGGCTACTTTTGGGTGCTGGAAAGCTAGAGACTGCTATACCCATCAGCACATGGTCATTGAACTTGTGGACTCACATTCTTTCCTATGCTTTATGCTGCTGCTGAGCCCGTGCTGAACAAGTGTCTGATGCCAAAAAGAGCAGTCATCATACTGCTTGTGGAACAGGCTCCTTTCTGGATGCACTTAGCTTTGCGGCTTTTTTTCCAGCTCCCAAGGCTCTCCACATCGGGCGTCACTTGGGGCACCTAATGTTTTCGTTTGAGAATAAGTCTCAAGTGCTTTGGGAGCATAGGAAGCACCAGAGCTCTCAGATCCACAGACACAGGATATGTCATTGTGTTTCCACCACCTCCTGAGAATTAATCATCCTGCTTGAATGATACAAATGTAGATCTCCTCCTCTCTCCTAGAACTTCAGAGTTCCCAGTCT